CCTGATTCATGGAGAACCACGTAAACTGTGTCAACTTCAAGATGGATTATGGATCAATCCATTGTGATCCATATCGTTCTCATTGGCTAGTTTTTGGAATTAGATTGCCAGGACTTTGTTACTATTCTTCCTGAGCCTGTAAACTCCATTGAAACCTGTTCGGCAACCTAATAACATATACATTTCCACTTACAGACTTTGCATAAGGTGAACTAGCTAGGAATTGAACCTGGGTCTCTGGAATGAAAGGTAACATTCTGGTGAATTATTAATGTCCCCTTACCAGGCACCACACTAAGGACTGTCACTTTATCCCTAACGGCAATCCTGATGACGTGGAAACTGAGAAGGCCATATTCCACAGACAGAACATTCATGTTGGAAAGTTTAAATAGCTCAAAGTCACCATTATGAAGTTGTTAAGAAGAAGAGCAAATTTCCTTGACTTCAGCACATGAGATCTTGAAACACAGTGTTGTATAGAGTGAGGTTCCTCTAAGGAATCAGGAAGAATAGACATGTTTGGAAAACAATGAGAGGAGTTGAACATATAATATAAAACAAAGGCTTCTAAAACATAACCATAACCCACTGTTTAAGAAGAGCACTTTCTACTATAACCCGGTGGACACCCACTATGCATTTCTGTGTATAAACAACTAAAACAAATTTATACAAAACACTTACGTTTATTACGTGTGATACCCTCTGACCATTTTTTAGTTTTCTATTCTCTATTAAGAGTCCTGGACTGGTGTTGTGGATTAATGCATTGGACTGCAAAGTTGGCTTGAATCACAAGGTTCAAGCTCACTAGTTGCTCCTTAGAAACCATATACAGGATCATTATGGATCGGAACTGACTCAACAGCATTTAACAACAACAATAATTTTCTATACTGTAGACTAAAGTGCACTTAAGGCAGAGAACAAGGCTCAGGGAATTGATGGAATACCAACTGATTTCTTTCAACAGCTGATGTAGCACTAGAGGCACTCACTCATATATGACAAGAAATTTGGAAGACAGCTGCGTGGCCAACTGATTGGAAGAGATCCGTATCTGTTCCCATTCCAAAGAGAGGTGACTTAATAAAATATGGAAATCATGAGACAGTATCATTAATACCACTTGCAAGTAAAATTTTGCTAAAGATAATTCAAAAATGGCTGCAACAGTACATTGACAGGGAACTGCCAAAAGTTCAAGCCAGATTCAGAGGAGGACATGGAATGAGGGGTCTCATAGCTGACATCTGATGGATCTTAGCTAAAAGCACAGAATACCAGAAAGATGTTTACTTGTGTGCTTTAGTGACTATGTAAAGGCTTTCAACTATGTGGATCATGACAAGCTATGGACAACATTGTGGAGAATGAGTATTCTGGAACACTTAGTTGTGCTCATGATGAACTACACAAAGATGAAGAGGCAGTAGTTTGAACAGAACAAGGGGAAACTGAATGGTTTAAAATCAGGAGAGGTGTGCACCAAGGTTATATTCTTTCACCATACTTATGCTTACCAAATAATCCAAGAAGATGGATTTGAAGAAGAATGGGGCATCAGGGTTTGAGGATGACTCATTAACAACATGTAACATGCAGATGATACAACTTTGCTTGCTGAAAGAGAAGAGGACTTAAAGTACTTACTGATGAAAATCAAAGACCACTGACTTCAGTATGGGTTGCACTTCAATGTAAAGAAAACAAATATCCTCAACAATGGACCAATAAATAACATGAAATATAGAAAAAAGACTGAAGTTGTCCATTTTGCTTGGATCCAACATCAATACTCTTGGAAGCAACAGTCAAAAAATCAAACAATGTATATTGAATTAGGCAAATCTACTGCACAAGACTTCTTTAAAGTGTTTGAGAGCAAAGATGTCAGTTTGAAACTAAGGTGTGAATGACCTAAGTCTTGGTATTTTCAGTAGCCTCATATGCATGTGAAAGTTGGACAATGAATAAGGAAGACTGTAGAATAATTGCAGCATTTGAGTTATGGTGTTGGAGGCAAACATTAAAGGAATCATGGACTGTCACTAGAATAAACAAATCTGTGTTGGAAGAAGTACAACCAGAAATTTCCTTAGAAGCCAATATGACCACACTTCATCTCTCATACTACAAACACATCATCAGAAGGGGCTAGTCCCTGGACATCATGCTTGGTAAAGTGGAGGGTCAGCAAAAAACAGAGGGAGACCTTCAACGAGATAGATTGGCTCAGTGACAGCAGCAATGTGCTCAAGATTAACAATGATTATGAGATCTGCAGAGGGTCACTATGGTCAGAACCAACCTGATGGCACCTAACAACAGTAATTACACTAGTTCATTAAAAAATAATAATGATGCTGCTCTTGTGAAAACTCAAGGAAAAGAAACATTATTTGATGTTTACCAGAGTTGAGAGAAAAGGGAGAGTAATTGACTGGCTACATGGTAGACACATGTTAACTTGGGTGATGAGTAAGGAAACATATAACAAGAAGGATGTTAGCAGAACAGTAAAGGCTCAGGGACGAACCCAAGTGTTAAAGGGAAGAGAGGTAAATACTGTTACATACATAACCCTGCAACAAAAGTGTTCTATGAGTAGATATGTGGATAGATACACAGGCTGAACAGGTGTGGGAGTGAAAGTAGGAATATACCCATAAACATATAAGATTTTGATAGAGGATATTTGCATATAGGTATTTACCTTTTCTGCAAGCACACCTATGAATATGTTGGAGCATACAGGGGAAAAAAATGATGAAAACTTCTTAGACATTAGTATGTATCTAAAGTAATGAGTTACTGGGCTTGTGGACTCAGGACAATAGTCTCAGGGGACACCATGGTCAACTGGCATAACACAATTCACAAGAACAATGTTTTATATCTTACTTGGTGGGAGTGACTGTGATCTTAAAAGCTCATGAATGGCCACGAAAAGTGCAACTACTTGGTCTCTCCATATGTGGAAGAAAGAAGAATGATGGAAACTGTAGATGCTTAGAGTCAATTCGTCTAATGGCCCAATGGAACACAAGCCAGCATGATTCTGAGACCAAAAGAACTAGATGGTGCCCGACTACTACTACCAACTGCTCTGAAAGTGATCACATTTAGAAGGTCCTGGATAGAGTGGGGGAAAATGTGGAACAAAACTCAAAATTATAAAAAAAAAAAGGCTGGGCTTATTGGTCAGAAGTAGACGAGAGGAATACAAGACTACAGCCCTCGGTCACCCTTCAATTCAGAAATGGAACTCACCTTCGTGGCCCAATAGTTAGCCAAGAAATAGACAGGCATATGGGGAACAAAGAGATAACAAATCTACTAAGCTATGCTCACCAGTGAATGGTTAACCATTCAAGAACAAAAGGGCAACGTGTACCTAAAGACAAAGTTGAGACAAGATGGAAAGGAGGGAATAATCAAAATAAAAGCCACAAGGAGGAAGTGGGATGGTAATCACTGCACAGAGGGGATTGTAATCACTGAGATGAAACAAAGTATATGATTTGTTGAATGTATAACTAATGATTGTGTCTGTAATCCTTTACTCAATTCACAATAAAAAGTTTCAAATAATAATAATAATGATGGTCAAGACTCAGCAAAATGATTTCATGGCTTACAACTGCTCATAACACAAAGTCGAAAAACTCCAACCAGTGCTAAAACCAATTCTGATGACCAGCACGCACCCTTATTGTTTCTAAATTTGAATAAAATACTAGCCTCTTCAAATTTCTACATATAATCTTCCATTTAAACCTATATCCAAGAAAAGAAAAAGGACAGGGGCAGGAGGGCAGTTAGAAGGAGGTCAACATATTGACAATGACCTTGACTCAGATGCGATCCATTAAAAAGGAACTGAAATTAGTAAGTACTCTAAACAAAAATAAGGAGCTCTGGTAGCGTAGTGGTTACGAATCAGGCTGCGAACCTTAAGGTCAGCAGTTCGAAACTACCAGCTGCTCCGCGGGAGAAAGATGAGGGTTTCTACTCCCGTAAAGATTTACACCCTCGGAAACCCTGTACAGGGTTGCTATGGGTCGGACCCGACTCGACGGCACTTAACAACAACAACAACAACTAAACAAAAATGGTTCCATCTTACTAACAAAGGGGCTTTTCAAAAAAAGGCAGATGTTAAACATCTATGTTGGAAAAGGTGCTATGACTTTAATTTCCCACTATGATTGACTGTGGTATTTGGAGCACCTATATGTAGTCTTTAGGCAAATTTTTAGACCAAAAGGTCAAACACCTACAGCTCGACTTGTCTTCTTCTCAGGAAAGCCTGTCTCTACGCTACTTGGTCAAGGCACTCCCTCGCTGGTCAACACTACTTTAACTTGATTTGACCCATTAAATCGCCTGGCTCACATTATCTATGGAAGGATATAGGATTGGCTTCTGTGTGCAGATTCAACACAGGAGCTATGAACATGCATCAGCATAAATCCATTAGAAGAAGGAATGGATTGGAGTTCATAAATGACTTGGAAATGGTCTCAGTAAAAACTTTAGTTACCATGGGGATTTATGGGAGGGAAGGAAAAGGGTCTCTAGAGAAGTGACTGATGCTATTTATTCATCTACTTGCAAGTAATGTCAAATTTTAAAAAGTTGCTCCAAAGAAAGCCACCTTTTAAACATTTTTTTATCAGCCTCTTAATATGCTGAAGGAACCTGTTAAAAACGCTTCAGCAGTGAAGTAACTTCGATGATAAATGTGTTCTTCAATCTGTGCACCAGTCAAGTAGCAATAAAATCAGAATAATTCATGCAAAAATTTTCATTATGTTTCTAAACATACTTATTTACATTTTAAATCACACATTAGACAATATGAAATATCTTTCATTTAGACAGGTGTGAACAAGAAAACAGATGCATTCATTAAACATGGAACAAATCGGTGAATTAAAAAAAAAAAATCAGAGAACTCTCTGGTTGAAGTACTTCAGCCACTTTTAACTTACTTGAAAAAATACAGCCATGGCTCCGATGATTCTGTTTTCAGAAATTGCAGTTTGAAAGCTGTCAAAGTCGTCTGGATTGTAAAAGAAAATCTGCATCTGTAAATGATATGATAAAAAAAATTTTTTAAGTATTAGGAAAAAATTTAAAATCAATATGAAAGGAGTGTGTATGCCATGTAAACATTTATTAAAGTTTTGCTAACTGTATTTATCCAAATTTTTCTCCAGTAAAGTATTAAAAAGCAAATCTCAGACACTGCGGAAGACTGTCCCTTCACACTTGAGGATTTATCACAAGACAATTCCTTACAGAATCCATGTGCCATTGAGTGAGCGACCGCAACTAACAGGCTATCTCATTATCTAAGTCCCAGGTCATAATGAAATTCCTTTATTAAGAAGCTAACTTTTAATAGTGTTAAATACCTTTAAGTAGAAAGCTAACCCTGTGAGATTTAGTCCACACATTAAAATTACACAAGCTTACATGGGCACATCTTTATAAACAACTCCCATATTAACGATAAGAATTTGAAGCGCTCTCTCAGTAGCTTTGAGAAAAAGTCCAAATGGTATATTTCCATCCATCTCCAAAGACATATAATGATAATAAAAACAATAATGCTTCACATTTTACAGTGTCCTTAAAGCAATCACGTAAATTATTTGACTTAATCCTCTTAACAGCCCCTGTGAAGATAGGGCAGAAGTTATTAAACTCAGTTACAAATGAAGAAATGGTACTTCAGGAAGTTAATGTTACCTTGTCTAAGATTAAATATCAGAGAAGAATCTGAATTTCAGGTGCTCTAGTACCAACCTTAAACTCATCTCCACAACAGTCACTTTATGTGGCTAGAGTTTCAAAGTCAGAAAGCACCCATCATATAAATCAGTACATTCATACGGTGCTAATATTTGAAACTTCTTGTTATTTAAAACAATTCAGAGAGAGAAAAAAGAAAAACAAAACCCACAGAGTATTACCTGAGAAATGCACATATTTTGGTACAAATAACAGATTTGGGTTTTTATTGCAGCTTCTTCAATTAGTTTCCTATGACACCTCAGGCATGCTATTTTTAAGCATGCTATCTCATGTGTGGTGCTGTGGGTTAATGCTCTGCTCTGCAAAGGCAGTCTGTACCACAAGGTTGGGGGTTCAAAGCACCAGCTGCTCCTTGGAAATCCTATACAGGGTCGCTATGGGTTGAAACTGACTCGAAGGCGCTTAACAACAACAACAACTACATTTTCTAGGGCTGGGGCGGGAATTTAAAAAGTCAGCAAAGTGTACAACATGCAACACCATGCCTAGACCTCACTCCATGCTAAGCAAAGCACCAACATGTTTGCCATCACATTTTAAGGTTGACAAGTGGTAGGCATCTTAAGATTTCTAGTTTAGAATGTCAGTCTATTGAATCTTCTAGAACGACCCTTCTCCTCACATAAAATCATATTTCCTGTTTTACTGCTGTTGCTAGTTGCCACTATAGTGACCCTAAGAACAACAGAACGAAACACTGTCCATTTCTGCACCATCTTCACAATTGCTGTTGTCTTCATCAACACCTAATTCAAATCCATTGATTCTTCAGCTGTCTTCCTTTTTCATTGTCCAAATTTCACATAAACATGAGGTGACTGAAAATAGTATGGTTTACATCAGGAGCATTAGTTCTCAAAGTGACACCTTTGCTCTGTAACACTTCAAAAAAGGCCTTTGGCAGAAGATTTGCCTAATGTAATTTGATTTCTTGATTGCTGCTTCCATGAGTGTTGATTGTGGATCTCTATGCTCTCTCCTATGGCTGTTTTCCCATTTTTCTAAAAAATATATTGCTATTTTTTGAAACAGAAATACCAACCACACCCAAAACTAAGTTTGGAAACTGAACATTGAATAAGAACTAAAATATAGGTCAAAAGTAAACAGCAGAGTCATGGTGACTTCATTAATCAACACGGTCAACACAAAGTGGCATTTCTTTTCTGAAGGGTGATAAATCAAGTAGTACAAATCAGAACACTCTCTAGGAAAAGTCAGGACCCGGAGAAGCTGGGAGAAGAGAGAAAGGATGAGTAGATTCCTTTGGAATGCTCTCATTTCTATAAGAGCATGCTTTTTCTTACATGGTAAATTCTCACTGATGGGACAGTTTCTTACTAATGTGTTGCCTTTAAGTTTGGACAGCTTTATACATGAATTTACAGGGAGAAAAATTCATTCAATGAAGTTCAGATTAAAATAGTTTAGTACTGAGTGAAATGCTTTGGGTACAATGCTACAAATCCAAAACAAAACATCACAAGTCTATTCAGAAAACTACACTTCACTTTCCTTTTAAAACTCAGGACCTCAAATTAAGTAGGTACACAGAGCAGACTTTCATAGACTCTGCCACTGAGCAGGGATGGCACTGTGTAATGCATCACCTGAATAGTGTGTGATACAAGATACTTTATGACCTCTTCAAGGGCATTTTCATTTACAACTGGGTAAGAAAATGCATTGTTAGAAACTGTCTTTGAGTCACGGGTCCACCCATCTGGATAATAAATCACCTCATAAAGACAATGGTAGCACAGGTCTGAAATATCAATTATCCTTGCTATTTCTCTCCAGTTGCTGTCTACTGAATCAAGTTAACTTCAATACAAGAGTAAATAGTGGATGGAGTTTTGCTAAATGAACTTTTCTTACTTAAAATTGTTTTGCTTGTTTAGACTAATTTGGAGAAAGGTTAGATACTTACTTTCCAAAAATATCTTTGGCTGGTGTTTGGGTGACTACAAAATATCTTGAGTATCTCATCAAATTTTATCTTCTCCCAAGAGCCTTTCTTTCAGTATTCTGTGCGGTATGTTATTTCTAATAATGTGACTCTAAGGCAGGGTCGCTATGAGTCAGACCTATTCCACGGTACATAACAACAACAACAACAACAAGGGATATTTGGAGTCCGTGGGTGGTGCAATCAGTTAAACAGTTAGCTATTAACTTGAAAGGATGGTGGTTCAAATCCACCCAGACACTCCTTGGAAGAAAGGTCCAATGTTCTCTTGTGAAAAAGCAGCCAGTGAAACGTCCTATGGAGCACAATTCTACTCTAATCCATAAATTCAGGACTTTCAGGAGTTAAAATTGACAACACAGTAACTGTTTGTTTGTTTTTAAATTGATGTTTACCGAATAGCAAACTTCCCATTGCAGAGCCATATTACACATAAGCCAAAAATGGGTGTTGAAAATCTAATCATCAGTGGAGTCCTGGTGTGGCACTATAGGATAAGCACTAGACCACTAACAGCAAGGTCAGTGATTCAAACCCACCAGTTGCTCTCAGAAACCCTATGCAAGATCACTATAAGTCAGAACCAACTCAATAACATTGAACAACAACAGTTTAATATTATGCTGAAAATCTTAGCCAAAGCTACAAAGGAAGGGAAATTAAAGGCATCCAAATTGGCAAAGTAGAAGTAAAATTTATTTGCAGTTGATAAGATCCTATTTGTAGAAAATCCTAAAGACTTGACAAGAAATTTATTGGAACTCACTGAAAGATTCAACAAATGACAGGGAACAAGATCAAAATATAAAAATCAGTTGGATTTCTTCACACAAATAAAGAGAGCCTGAAAAGGAAATTAGGAAAACAATATCATTTACAATGTGGGAGGTTCAAACCCACAGCTGATCCATGGAAACCCTATATAGGATCAATATGAGTCAGAATCGATTCAACAATACTTAACAACAATATTATATAATCTATAGTCCATTGCCAAATTTTAACAAATACCTAAATAAAGTCCATTACAGATAAATGATTGGATCTCTGTACAGGATTCAATCTAAGGAGTTCTGGTGGCACTGTGGGCTAGGCATTGGGTTGTTAATCAAAAGTTCAGTGGTTCAAACCCACTAGCCGCACCTCAGGAGAAATTTGAGACTGTCTGTTCCTACAAAAATTTACAGTCTCAGAAATTCTATATGGGTTCCTTATGAGTTGGAGAGCTGGTATGGTGCTTTAAGATAAGCATTGGACCGCAAGGCTGATTTGAACCACAGGTTGGGGGTTCAAACTTACCAGCCACTCCTGAGGAATTCTATACAGGGTCGCTATGAGTCAGAACAGAATCAATAGCATTTAACCACAACATCAAATATGTTGGAAGCTAAAAGGAGAAAACCAAAGTCTACAGCCTTCAGTATCAATTGCATCTCGACGTAAAGAAGGTAAAAAATTTCACAACTGGACCAATATATAACATCATGATTAATGCAGAAAAAAAAATGAAGTTGTCAAAGACTTCATTTTGTTTGGATCCAAAATCAACACTCCCGTAAGCAACAGTCAAGATTTGCATTTAGGCATATCTGATACAAAAGATCTCCTTAAAATACTAGAAGAAAGGTATCAGTTTGAGAACTAAAGTATCCCTGACCCAAGTCATGATATTTTCAATGTAAAAGCTAGAAAATGAATAAGGAAGACCTTAGAAGAAACGATGCATCTGAATTATGGTGGTTGTGTACATCAAGGAGATTCGGACTCAGTGACCCTTTAAAGGGTTTCCAAGCCTGTAAATCTTTATGAAAGTAGAAAGCCTCATCTTTCTCCTGAGGAGCAACTGATGGATTCGAACTGCTGACTTTGAGGTTAGCAGCCTGAATTGTAAATCACCACATCACTAGGGCTTCTTGAATTATGGTGCTGGAGAAGAATATTACAAATACTGTGGACTCCCAGAAGAACAAATAAATCTGTATTAGAAGTATAGCCAGAACGTTCCTTAGAAAGCAGGATAGTGAGACTCTGTCTCTCATACCTCACACATGTTACCAGGAGGGACCAGTCCTTGGAGAAGGACATCATGCGTGATAAAGTGGAGAATCAGCATAAAAGAGAAAGACCCCAATGAGATGGACTGATACAGTAGCAGTAATAATGGGCTCAAACGTAACAACAATTGTGAGGATTGAAAAAGACGGTGGTATTTCTATGTTCTGTTGTACATAGGGTTGCTATGTGTCAGAACCTACTTGATGGAACCTAACAACAAAGAATGGGAATCAACTCAACGGC